AACTGTAGTTCCAGCACCTGTGAAGCTGAGGCAGGAGGATCACTTGAGCCCAGGAGTTTAAGAACAGCCTGGGCAACATAGTGCACCCTGGCTCAAAAAAAAAAAAAGAAAAAAAACTAAAACATGGGAAAGTACTGTAATTCACTAACAAACTGGAGCCCAACTAGGTTCACCACAGGACTCCATGACCACCCCCTCTGACCAGTAGACTCCAGCGACTTCTTGGACCCCTCGGTGGTTAGCCAAGCTAGGAATTTCTAAGAGAGACAGTTGCCTTTCCCTACTGCCCTTCACTTTGAATAGTGGCTTCTGGTCCCTTTTGGAGAGAAAGGCCAGGAAGAGGAGAATTATAGGGGAAATGTTGGCATGGGACATCTTGAGGACCATAAGTGAGTTCTGTCCAGACTAGATGGAAAGCTGCAACAACTCGGGCCACTGTCTGCTGACCAGAGCTGAGTTTTTCTGATTGCGTAGATCAGAAATTGCTGAAGTGCCTTTAGCAGCCAACACCAAAGAACTCTGGGACTAACCCGTTTGCTGCTCCTACCCTGTTGCACATGTTGCTAACTGCATTCACCTGGTCTTGGTGGTTTTGCACCTGGCCTCTATTGGTCTGGATGGAAATCAACACATCGCAAAGCAAAACCTCACCCATCAGCCCTGCCTGCAGGTCAGCTGCAGTGAGCTTTTGAAAGATACTGGCATGCCAGGCATGGTAGCCCATGCCTATAGTCCCGGCACTCAATCCCAGCACCTGGGAGACTGAGGCAGGAGGATCACCATAAGTTTGAGGCCAGCCTTTGGTCCACAGTGAGTTTTAGGCCAGCCTGAACTACATAGCAGACTCTGTCTTAAAAAAAAAAAACAAAAGACACTGGCAATTCTTTCTCTCCTGCATACCTGTGTCTTGTTAAGAAGAATGTCTTTGGGGACAATTTTTCTCCCTAAGCTTTTGGGTCCCCACTTTGAAATTACACCAGGGAAGGCAGGAAACATGGCACACTGGTAGAATGCTTACCTAGCATGTGCAAAGCCCTGGGTTTGATCTCTGACACCACACACACACACACACACACACACACACACACACACCGTACCACACATGTTTTGGCACCTCAGCCCACCAAAAGCAAGCTACCTTTTCAGTACAGTTTTCAGTGAACCACTCTGCTACGTGGGCCACTTATATCTGAAAATTCTAGTCAGCGTTCCCAGATTGACTGGCTCAGCCAGGTACACTGTTAAGAGCTGACTTGGTGTGGTTTGGGTTTTCTCTGTGTCACTTCTAGAACCCATTCCCACACATACCCTCACTCCTCCAGCAGTACATATTTGCAAAATTTTGTGGTGCCATAATTATCCATCCCTCGGTGGGAGTATTTCCAAGAAATGCCCCACTGGGCAATTTTGTCATTGTATAAACATCACAGAATGACCTCGCTGACGGCACACCTAGGCTCTGTGGGTGGCTATCATGATCCGTGCTGTGTGTCAGTGACAGGAACATCGCCCCACTGCACATGACTGTCCATTTGTTTGGTTTATAAGCTGTCTTCTCCTAGGACAGATGAGAAACTGCCTCAGATGTTCCTGAACACCTGAAACTCCTGTGGTGTTTCAAGAGAAGGCTAGTCTCCTCAGACATCGGAAAAAGGAGTGCTTCGGTTGGTAAAGAAAGCTCAAGGAAATAGAACACTACTCTACAATTTAAAAAACAGAAAAGCTGTAAATGTCTGTAACAACTTGGAGGGATGTCAAAGGCATTATCGCAAATAGTTACACTGTAGGCTCCCAACTGGTAAATATCCCCAAAGTGACAAAATTATAGTACTAGAGAGCAGAGGAGCTGGGGGCAAGATGATAAAAAGGGGTAACACCAGGGAGCTTCTTTGTGGTGATGGAATGGGTCTGTACCCTGACAGGGTGAAAGTTAATTGAATCCACATTTATGATGAGATTTCATAGAGCTATACACTCATGCACAAAAAGACATGCGTATGAAAACTGGCAAAATAGGAATAAGGTCTATGCCCGAGTTAATAATGATATTGTATGAATGTCACTTTCCTAGTTTTTACAAGGAATTGTGCTGTTTTCCATTGTTGGGACAAAGATCCCTGGCGCCTATAACTTAAGGGAGGAAACGTTTATTTTGGCTCAAGGTTTCCATGGCGTCAGTCCATGGTAAACTGGCTGCAAGACAGAAACCTACCTGGCATGGCAGAGGAAAACTGCTCCCTACATGAGATCAGGAACCAGAGAAAGAAGGAAGGAGCCAGAGAGAAGAAAAGACACCCTTTCAGGTCCTTACCCCCTACAGCCAGGCCCCAGCTCCCACATAAGACTTTTGGGGGACATTTTATATCTAAACCATAGCAGGTATTATCATCAAATGGACCTGGCCAGAGGGTATCCAAGAACTCTGCACTATTTTTACAACTTATTATGAGCTTTAAACTAATTCAAAATCACTCAATTTTAAAGAGAAAAAAGGCATAGAGTCTTAGGGGGAATTAGGGATTCACATTTCTCAGACTCATCTGAATCCACTCAAATCACCTTCACGCTAAGTCTCACCGTCCCACCTTTTCCCACTCTTTGCCCCAAATTTTAAACAGCCGGGAGTCCAGATCCTTACTGATATCATTGCACCTATTGGTTCATCAAGCCCAAGACTTCTGGCTTCTCTGTCTCTGTTTTTAGATGGGTGTTTTGTAACTTGAAGCTGAAAGTAACCCTAACCAATTCAAAGTCTTGATTCAGATGTGTTCTCTAGTGACTTCCGTCGTCTTCCTTTCTGAAGTTATTTTATCTAAACAAAGCAATGTATCCTTCGTTGGAACTTTCTATTCCAAAGGGCGGAAAAGTCCACTTAAATCAACAAAGTCGTCTCTTTTAACACGAAGCGAATATCCATTAGGTCACAGAATTCAAAACACAGCCGTTCTCCGTTAACGCCTGCGATGTGAGAGTTCAGCCATCGTGTGTGGCCTCAGTTTCCCTTCGTTCTCAGTTCTACTTCTCCTTCGCAGGCCTCAAACTCCTGTCTCCACTCATCCATCTGTTACAGGTTCTGACAGAAAGGAGATTCCTCCTCTTTCCCAACAACCGGAGAGAGCCTTGTGACACAGGGACTCTGATATGGTCAAGCACTTACCCTTGAGTCCAACCCTGAGACTATAACAGGCCAGTAGAGCTGGGGACTTAGCTCAGTGGTTCCACTGCCTGCCTTCTAGGCACAAGGACCGGAGTTCAATCCGCAGTACCAAAAAAAAAAAAACCTCTATAAAAGGTCGGTTCATTTCTTTCTTTCTTATTTTTTGTTTTTTGCTTGGCTTTGTTTGGATTTTTTTTTTTTTAGACAGGGTCTCCCTTTGTAGTTCAGGTTGGCCCTGAACTTACTATGTAGCTCAAGATGACCTTGAACTTGCAGCGACCGACCCTCCTGTCTGTGCCTCCTGAGTGCTAGGATTACAGGAGCTCAAGAAGAAACAGTCTTGGAAGATGATTATGTTGAAGCACACTGCTTAATGTCTAAGCAGAAACTGTTAGGATTCTGCAGGAAGTTTAGGAGGAATCATCCAACATTTTACCTGGTGCCTGCCATTTGCACGGAAGCACAGTGGCTACAGGAACTCAGGCTCAGCTCTGAGGGTTACCAACTCTGTGACCTTCAACGAATCTCAAAGCTCCAATGGGCCCACGTGCCCCGGGGGTAAGACAAGGAGTTAATACTTGGTTCATTTTTGCATCTATCTAAGCAGCTAGGTTTCAGAAGTCCTAAGAGGTGATGCTTAGGAATTCACAGCCAACATTTATGTCAAACTTGTCAAAAATTAATGATAAGTCAGACATGGTGGTACACATCTGTAATTCCAGCGCACAGGGAGCTGAGGCAGGGAGATCTCAAGAGTTTGAGGAGATCCTAGGTTACACAGTGAGTTCAATGCCACCCTAAACTACATAGTGAGACCCTGTCTCAAAAAACAAAATTATGTTTTGGGACACCGAATAATTATCTGACCTGTGTGCCAAACTGGCTCTTGGTGGTGCTCTGCTCATGTGTAGGGACAATATAACCCCCACATGGACGCCAAACATACACCACCTGCTGACGGGACCTCTGACACACTTGCTGTGCTAACACCTTTGTACCAGCACCTCAAAGCCCAACCAGCATTTTTTTCCCTTTTTTCTCCCAATCAGATATACCAACGGTGAGAAGTTAAGTGACACAACAAAATTCTCATGAAATCTTGGATTTCTTTTGCTTGCTGTTTTTCCCAGGCAGACTTCACAGAGGCCTTGTCCCCTTCCAGTAGCACGGCTCACATACACATATGAAATTCCAGCCACAGCTGAGGTCCCCGCATGCCCTTTTGAGTGTTCTCGGGCATTTCCTCACAGAAGACAATGTGATATGGAGATGAGTCCCCTTGGGATTCCCAGTGTCTCTAGGCGTGGTGGCACATGCTATAATCCTGGACGGCATTCAGGAGGCTGAGGCAGGAGGACCACCCCAAGTTCAAGACCAGCAGGGGCTCCATACTGAGTTCAAGGCCAGCCTGAACTACATAGCAACACTGTCTCCAAAAAAAATTTTTTTAAGAAAAGAATTCCTAGTGCCAAAGTACACTAACTTTCTCTTCATCCCTACTACTTCTCCACGTCAGCCTCTACCATACATAGAACATTTCCCAAGTATAGTCAAACACAGCCCAAAGTCTTGCCTACTTCCCCAGCCCTGGCTGTGTATCCCTCAGATTTCTCTGGACTTTGGCAGCAGATGACAAGGACAAGCAGACCCAGTTTGACTGCCCGGCCCCCCACCAGCCACTTCCTGTCCAGGGAACCTTATCTCTCAGCAGCATACGCGTGGCAAGGGCGGCCACACTCCTCCTTCACCCTCTAGGGAAGACTATCATTTCTAAACACACTGAATCCTTTAGGGTTGGGGCTCATAAGGTGATTTAAAGGATTTGTTTTTCCAAATCACTTACCTGGATTTCCTTCTGAAATGTCAATTCTAGAACATGCGTTTCTCCCGGACCCACAGCACCCCGCCAAGCTCTCCTGCAGACCTTCACACGACTTGCGGTGTGCATCCGTGAAATATCATGAGACACGTCCCAGCTGGTAGCAGGCTAACATCCTCCCTTACACCAGTTAGCATCATTGCAAGGGTGCACTTTGGGATCATTTAAGGTGAGCCCATACTTTGGCCCAAGTTGTCACCAGATAATGCTCAGCAGTTTAGATATTGTGGTTGTCATTGCACTAAATATCACCAGCTGGGACGATCTAACTATAGTTGGCCCACACACAATAAATCACATTCAATGTGTCTCTGTCTCTCTGTCTCCCCCTCCCTTTCCTTCTCCATTTCTCTCCCTTTCTCCAGGTCTTACTCTATAGCCCTGGTTGGCCTCAAATTCTCAGTGATCCTCCTGCCTCAGGCTCCTGGACAGTGGGATTACAGGCTCATGCCTTTCAAAAGAGATGGAAGTCTGACAAGCAGTGGCTTTTTCACAGAAATTTCATGGGACATTGGCAAGAGGATGTACACTACATGGCATATTGTATCAGGATGATAAAACGACACAATCTCTGCAAATGTGCTAAGAAATACCACTCCACGCTCCACAGGGGCTTTTGCAAAGTAGGTGGGCAGCTTGGCTGACCTATGGCTAAGGGGCCTAGGGGACCGGAAGGAGAGTGGGGGGCTGGGGCTTCCTTTGGGAAGAGGTTTACTGGGAGTCCTGCAGCATTCCAGGGGAAAGGAGAAAGAGGAAGAGGCAAGGCGTGGTTCCCTCTGGTTTCCGGCTAGTGAGCGGTCACTTACAGAGCTTAGAGATCTTGATGTGTGGAGCCCACGCGAGGGGACCCGGCGGGCTGGGCAGACCCAGGTCGGTGACATTGCAGAGCAGTGTGCTGGCCACAGCCACCTACATCTGCAGACAAGGACTGGGTCACCCTGGTGTGAACAGCAGGTCTTGACCCAGAGTCCATTCTCCCAGATAGATGTACCTGTCTGTTTGGGCTGCTGTAACAAAGAGCAGAAATTTGTTTCTCACAGTTCTGGAAGCTGAGAGGCCCAGGATCAAGATGCCAGGGGATTCAGTGTCTGGTGAGGACATAGCATGCTGTGGTCTCATTATTTATCCCCCCAATTCCTACTGTGTTTGGGGGGTTGTGTTTTTGTCATTCTTGTTTGTTGTTGTTTTTTGAGATAGGGTCTCTCTATGTATCCTAGGCTGGCCTTGAACCCATGGGTGATTCTCCTGCCTCAGCCTCCTGAGTGTTGAAATTTCAGGTGTGCAGCACCACACCCAGCCCAAATTCCTACTTTGAAACTGAATTCCCAATGAGACAGCATAAGAGGTGGGGCTTTTAAGGGGTGATTAGATCAGGAAGGCTCCACAGGGGAGAGGCTGTGCTGCGACCTGAGTCCAGGGTCCTCTTCCAAGCTCATGTGCTTGTCTGCCGTCTTCACTTTTTTGCAGCTGCAGAATTTATGGCAGTTTGCTTCTTCAAGGTCAGCAGCTTTAAAAAGCCTCTGACTACTCCTGTCTCTGACATCTGGTCATTTAAAAGCCTCCCCTGACTGGGTCAGACCTTCCCAGGATAACCTCCCTTTTTGTTGTTGTTTTGGTTTTTTTGAGACAGGGTCTCACTGTGTAGTTGAGAATGACCTGGAACTCACTGTGTAGCCCAGGCTGGTCTCGAACTAACAGCGATCCTCCTGCCTCAGCCTCCCAAGTGCTGGAATTACAGGTGTGCACCACCATGCCCCAGCTAACCACCCTTTTGATAACCCAAGGTCAACCAATCAGGGACTTTAATCACCTCTGCAGCATCCATGGGTCCCCTGACCCGGCCATGGGGAGCAATGGAATTGCAGGGTGGGGTCCTGTCCTGCGCACATCTGCCCCTCTGGGGAGCAGTTGGGCGAAGCTGTGTGCCTCAGGGGCTGAAGCCTCTGAGAACCCTGCCTCCTGCAGGCTGTGATCTTTGGAGAGGAGAAAATGCGCCTCTGTTGCCTGCATCGTGGGCCTCATTTTCCCATCTCCTCCAGGACGAGGATGGCCTCCTAGCAGTCACATCTTGTGCCTGCAGGTAAGTTCGGAGGTGCACAACCGGGAGCGCACTGTTTCCATTTTCTTTTTTCTTTATTTGCATGAGTTGTGCTGCTGAAGGACTGGTTTTAGCTCATTCTTGGTAGCATTTCTCGTGACCGCTCCGCACCTGTCCACTACGGTCACACTTACTTGTAAACAAGCTATGTGGGAGTTAGCGAGTATTTTTACAGATGTCAAGGCCGCCCAACATATTTCTTTCCAACTATATGGGATCAGAAAGCTGCATCTTTGCCTGGGCAGAAAATAGAGGGGTTAACTGCAATTCTTTGGAGATGACTTGTCTTAATCACTGCATGTAGAACCTGTTTCCCTTCCTTGCTTCCTTCTTTTTCGTCCTGTCTTCTTCCCTCCCCACCTGCCTGCCTGCCTGTCTGTCTGTCCATCTGTCTGTCTCCAAGTCTGCCTTTGGCTTTCTCCTAGGGAAGGAGAAAGCAGCAGCAGCAGCTGTGATCAAATTTGGGTCCTGGTGCTTGCGAGGCAGGTGGCAGAACCACTGAGCTAAATCCCGGCCCCTACAACTATATTTTTAACAGAATGTAACCTAAAACTTATTTTTCACTAAATACACGTCTTACACTGTTCCGTTCTGGTGTTCTCTGTGAGTATAAAGCATTCTGTCACTTGCCTGGCTTCTGTTGCTGATTTGCCATAAATTTGAAGGGGGTAAAGATACAGGATGCATCCTCCTGCCCGTAGAGTTTTTCTTTACCCAAAATGTGAAGAAGAAAACCTGGAAATGTTGTTAAGAGATTTGACTCCTCCAGACCCTCAGGGAATCCACGTAAAAGGGTTGCGCTCGGAATTCATGTCTAACTTACCATCTGTGCTCAGGTGCATGGATGCAGAAATAGTGGATGTGTGCATCATACGTGGAGTAGCAGTCCGTGCACATGTAGTCCCCAGCTGTTTACTGAGAGGGCTGAAAAGCCATCACACCCCACCTACATACACCCCGCACCCAGGTCTCGGATTCTAAATACCTTTCCTGAATAAGAGGAGCCAGGACTGCTAGGAAAAGTGACAAATTCTAAGCCTAAGTCAGAGGAAATAGGAGATGGCCAGGAGCACTTGTAGAGGCAGAAAGGAAGAGAGCTAAAGGGACAGGTGGGTTAGGCTACGTCAGAGGGACCCAGGAGCCAGCACAAACACTGGCCGTGGCCGAAGCTGGAAGACTTTGAGGAACAAAATAATGTCATCTGGTGTTATAATCCAACTATGAAGTAAATATGCATGAGTCCATACTGATACAAATAAAAGATTTAAGAGATAGAGTCATGAGACAAATATTCCTGACAATGATTGGAAATAACTTAGTTTCAGCTTCCTACCACTTGAAAGTGAGCTGGGGCTGGGGATGTGGCTCCGTGGCACCGCACCTGCCCGGCAAGGGCCAGGTCCTGAGTTCGATTCCCAGAACACAGAAAGCAGACTGGACTTCTGACCCCTCAGTGGAGGAATGCGGAGAGCACTGCTGTAGCCACATGCTGAAGGTCAGTACCTCCGGGGTGTCGTGTGCCACTGCGTACCCCCAAGCGGTGTGAGGGAGGGGACAGCTACCCATGACCACGCTGATCGTGAGAAAACACCAAGCAAATGCAGGCCGGGGTGAAGTCATAGGGCACACGTGCAGTTCCCCTCAGGACTGTCACATTCGGGCAAAACAGTTAGTCATCCTATTACAGTGACATATGCACTCCCGTGTTCATAGCAGCACAGTTTACAGTAGCCAAACCTTGGAAATGAGCCGTACGCCCATCAACAGATGAGTGGATACATACAGTTGGTATCTGTATTCAATGGAGTACTGCTCTGCCACACAGAAGGATAAACCTGGGGCCGGGGAGTTAGCTCAGCGGTGCCGCTGCCTGTCTCACAAGCACAAGGTCCTGAGTTCGATCGCTGGTACCAAAAACAAATGACAAGAAGGATAAACCTGGGCTGGGATTTAGTCAGTGGCCTTGCAAGCACAGGGTCCTGAGTTCAGTTGCTGGTACTGAAGAAAAAAGAAAAGAAAGATAAGCCTGAGGCATCTGTGGGAAAATGTATACACCTCAAGACCATAATGTTAAGTGAGATAAATTAGACACCTGAATTTAAATATCGAACAGTTTCTCTTATATGGAAAACCCAAAATGCAAATAAAAAACAAAGTAAAAGATGGGTATTAAGAAATAGAGGGATATATTTTCTTGCTGCTTTTACTTCTTTGTATGAGAAATGTCTGTTCATTTCGGATGCCCATTTTTGAATCGGGTCATTATATTTGGGGGGACTGATTGTTTTGAGTTCTTTATATATCCTTGATAATAGTCCTTTGTCTGAGGTACAGCTGGTAAAAATTTTTTCCCACATTGTAGATTGTCTCTTAGTTCTGCTAATGGTTTCTTTTGAAGTACAGAAGCTTTTTAGTAAGATGAGATCCCAGTTGTTGATTCTTTCTGCTAGTTCCCGTGCTACTGAGGATTTGTTCATAAA